ACTGAAACAGTATTATTTACTGGGTGACACAGTTTCGAACAAAATTTACTGTTCATATTGATATGATTATGATTACGTCATCCAGTAAAAATAATACTGTTTTACTGTGTGATACATCTAATAAACAAACTAATATGGAATTAGATGACTAATTAATGTAATCAAAATCAAAGTTCAGTTACCAAGGGAGTGAGAGATTAATCACACTTTCTTTCTGTATGCATAAATCTGGTTGGTTTGAATCGTTTGATTGCGATCGCTTCGGTAAATCGTAGTAAATTTGCTGTTCTTTGCCTGTTTAATAGTTTGAAGGAGTTTAGCTAAACTCATAACATTATACAGCACTACTTCTTCTATAAGCCGCTCTAAACTGGATAAATACCCTCCTAGTGTCATCTCCAACTGCGTTTATGAATTGACGTGCACTTCTGGGAACAAGTACATCGGAAGGACGGAAAGAAGGGCTTGTTTCCGGTTTTCTGAACATATTTCAAGAAACCTATGCCTGAAAAGAAGCAAATATTCTCAGAATGCAATTACCAGACATATTGTTGATAACGGACATCTCGTAGAGATTTCTAAGTCCTTCAAAATAGTAAATAGACAAAGGACAGCAAATTTACTACGATTTACCGAAGCGATCTCAATCAAACGATTCAAACCAACCAGACGTATGCATACAGAAAGAGAGTGTGATTAATCTCTCCCTCCCTCCCCTTGCTAACTGAATTTTGATTTTGATTACATTAATTAGTCATCTAACTCATTGATCTCAACTCACTGAGCAAATCTCAATCTTATAAACTGTAACCGTTTCTTTTTGTTTTTGGAGTTGATATGTGAACCTACAATCTAACACTGTTTGTTAATTTTTTCTGTCTTTTGTCTTACACCTGCCACTCTTTTCTACTTTGAAAGTGTATAAATTGATGATGAAAACTTAAATTAAAATTTTTAATTTAATTCAATTTTAGATTTTCCTGTCGACTGATTGGACCGAAGTGTTCGGTCTCAGACTGACATATCGACTTCTTCTGCAGATGCTTCGACGATGTCTGGGCATGTAATTAGAAGTTAATTGGTGGATGGTGACTAACAGTGGAATCCAGAATGCACATTTCGTCTTATGTGGGACTCGCCAGCTGGATGTACCTGCATTCCACAATGAGTGATGATGTTACCACCAAGACACTTCGATCCGATCAATCGACGGGAAAATCTAAAAGTGAATTAAACGATTAATATGATCCCTTGCACAAGAAGTGGCTCTCATGGTCCAAGTGGTCTAGTGGATAACGCTACAGAGTTTGCAACTATGAACACTGGGTTCGAGCCCCAGTGGAAACATTAATACTCACTGCGGAATGCAGGTACATCCAGTGACGAGTTCCAAATAGGACGAAATGCGCATCCTGGATTCCACTGCTTGTCACCAGCCACCAATTAACTTCTAAAAATTGTAATGCTTACATTTCGGACGCGTCATTTCTATAGTCTTTGTTCTCTACTACCACTTAAACACTAAAGTATGTTATTATCATCTATATAAGCATTGTAATTTCAGGTAGTCAATGTCAGCTGATGAGAACCTGTGAAATAGAATGATGATATCATTTTATACTAGGAAATTATCAAACGTTCCTTTTTTCATGTTAACTTTAGTGGTATGAGGATTCAGTAGACATAACACATGGATAGTCAGGTTTTACTCTACTTACTGGCTGCTGATTGAGTTTCAATACATAAGGCTGACGAAGTTCATGTGAGGGGGAAAGAATATTAACATAGAAGATGAATGAATGCATCGACACCATTGGTAACGATTTTGAGTCATATAACCAATCACCTTCAGTCGTTGGATCTTAGCATGTTGATGACTCCGATCAAAAGGTCTACAGCTTCCAAATGATTCAAAACAACTGTGAAAAACTTCAGGCATTGATGCCATGTTTTCACATCTGATCACCAAGATCTCTTCCCATTTAATTCTGTGTCGGAGAAGACAGTGATTCGGAATGAGCAATACCTGTCCCAGTCATCTCAATCAACGTCACTTCACAATCTCATCGATTGAGTTTTCTTCCCTACCTAACGTTCAACGCCTTACCTCAATATTATTCACTACAGCACGGCACATAACACAAGAGATAGAACGACAAATAAATAAGACTTCTCAGGGATAATAAAAGAGATTGAGACCAAGCCTCCAGCACTTAGTATTGTAGTTTATCTCACACAACTCCAAAAAGGTATAACTTTGAGACAATCGATCAAATACGTGCTACTATCGAGGGTTTTATTCCATCCAAATAGTGTAAGTTCAAAAGGGAGGATATTTATTAATATTGAGACAGTATGATACGTCAGGGGTAGAATGCTCGCCATCGATACCACTGCTCCGGGTTCGAACCCCGGCTGATGCACCCTTAAAGCTTGTTTAGCCTGCAGTTAGCCCAGTGAAGATGGACGGCTAGTCGTGAGGGTAGCAACCCCATCCATTGCTACCAAAACTTTAAAGTTCAAGCTTGAAGTCCTATATTCCACCCAGGATACAAAGGAGTGCGAAGAGGAAGAAGACGAAGAATGATCAATCAACACACGATAAGTGTGGCTCATTATCTTAAACGCTTGACTCTCAACCAGTGGATCCCTCGTTCTAGTCCTATTCCAACCTAGTTTAGCCTCAAGCAACTGCATAGTATCATCAGGTCTCATACTATAAGCGTGGCCTTCAGTCTGGTGGTATACGAGAAGTCTGTTCCAGACAGGTAGGTAATTGATTTCGAACAATACCCTCTCAATATCGTAAATTCACACACTTACTATTTACCAATAAAAGTTGTACACCAATTTGTGAGAAAAAAAAGAACAGACTTATTAACTTAACTCTAGGCTGTTAATTCAGCTGACAGAGAGAAAGATGCCAAATTTTGTGAACTAACACAAACAGACAGATAGATAGACAGACAGACACAATGGCTAGCAAACTGAAAGCCAATATAGTACGTATGTATATCTATACATATATATGTGGTAAACCGCTGAATAAAGTGCAAAACGTTTTTTTGTATTTATAGACTGACCACTGAATGGTTTACGACGCATAACCCGACAAGTATCCGATTGAAACCTATGGATCGATCATATTACGAGATTCTTTATAACGGTGAACTTAAATCGATAGTCAATGATTGAAAGTAATTGAACATAGTTTTAGTGTTTGTTGACACCGGTCAGTAGAATGGCGACCGAGACTTTCAACGAAATCATGTTCATTCACCTACTTAGTTGATTTTACAAATTTGACCACGGATTGATATCATAGTTAGAGAACTATTGATAATCAGCCACAGGGAGTACTGGACAGCTGTTCCCTATGTCCTAGTTTGGGAATCATTGGCAGTACGCACCTACACCCGCTGGGGTTCGAACCCAGGACTTTCCGGTTACAAAGCAAGCTAGCTCGTATACCATTCAGCCACTGGGACCCGCCTCCTTAACGGCGAGCACATGAATTCTAACTTCCCACCAATTCCTGATGAGTTTAGCGCGACTGGTACCAACCAATGTGATCGGTGGGAAATCCATCCTCACAATTGACTGGTTGAACTTCACTGGTCACGACTTCTCACTAAAACTCCAGGAAACTCTATCCTATAGCGAGTCACTAGCGAGCATCAGAGAACCATTGAAAACCAGGGTTCTCTAACTTACTTACTTTACTTTAATTCGGCTATCTCCTACGGGAGGATGAGCCGGCTTCATGAACATCTCGAATCATCGCTGCCCAGGCGCGGCGATCTGATGAAGAGAGTTCATGAAGTTTCATGGGAATTTGGTACGAGTGATGTCCCCAGAATCGCTTGGCCTTTTGTTTGTGAGTGCAGCTCTAGCCTTTACACAACCAAGTGTGACCTACAAGGCAGTAGGAGTGGAGTAGGGAGTCCACTATCCATTGGCAGCCGGTGACCGGAGTTCGGTTCATACGCCTTTTTGAATGGAGCCAGACATCCAGGACATCCAACAAGCCCTTTGTCCATACGTCTGCGGTGAGCTCCTGTGAGCTTCATACACCAGTCGTTGGAGGTTTGGAATCAGGGTTTAGCCATCTCCCCTAGACTGTCATCCAATGGACAGTCAACCCGGTGAAGAGCGCCGGGCATCCGCTCTCTAACTGATATCAATCCGTGATCAAACTCGTAAAAACAAATCTAATCCTTACAAACCAACTCTTGAAAATTCACTTAGTTGAACGCGCGAACATTCAATGTGAATAAAGCACAAAATCTAGATCCAGTTCAATATTCAACATTGAATATTTTTAGTCAATACTTGGCGTTAAATGACCTTGTATTGATTAAAACGGTTTAAAATCTGACCAGTTAGAGAATTACTGAAAATGAAGGAGTACGCCACAGTTTTTTGTTTCGTCCTTGTTTGAGACTCTTTAGCAATACGCACCTATGATTCCACAGGGGATAATCAGCCACTGGGACGGAATTCTAACTTCTTTCAATTTGTGATTTTAGCGCCACCGTCAGCCAATGTCCTCAGTGTCAAGTGTGTATTTGTCGTCATACTGGACCTGCTGGACGCAAACCGATCACGGCTTCTCACCTGAACTCCAGGTGAGGTAACTTTTTCCTCAAATTAGCCACTAGTGAGCATCAGATTAACTAAGAAGGTGACAAAAATAAGAATGAACAGTGTCAGATGGTTGGAAACAATCGGCAGGAAACCCTGCCTACCTAACCTATATTTCGTGCTTCCTTTCAACAAAATGTGCCCGCAACTGTGAATAAACTGATATCCCCCCCCCCTATGAAATGCACACCTGTACCACCGAGTACTACTACATAGTCAAAGATGCTGTTTACCACTGAGATGTTCGGCCTAACGATTGTACAAAAAATTGGAAATCACTCAGTTCAAAGTTAGCAACAAACAACGCCCATACGTAGGCACAACAAAACAAAAAAAAACAATTCATCACAACTCACTTCAAATTTAAACGTGCCAATTCAGTTTCAGGGAATAGCATTTTTCCAATTGACCGATTTAAACTTGTCCCCGAAGATGAATGACTACTATGATTCAGTGAAATCTTTTGACGATTATACAACAGGCTATTACGATCCGGACTATATCGATATGGTGTTGTATGCACAAGATTTGGAGTAGCAATAGCCGTCGCATTATTGCCTTGTGAATTAGCTGCCAGCAGAGTTAACAGTAAACGCATATGCTGATTATTGTTATTAGCATTAGCTGTGGTATTGATAATATTATTAGTATGGTTATTGCTACCGCTACTGTTGTTGTTACTATGCTGAATAGCTGACGTATTTGAAATATTTGTACTAGCACTGGTCAACACATTAGGATTGTAATACACAGGTGGATGATAAGCACAGTATTGAGCATTTTGTAAGACAGTTAACGCATCATTCGATTTCATATTGGCATAATACAACGGTAATGATGAATGCTTATTTGTAACAGTTGATGAGGCACAAGTGACTGTTGGTGTTGTCGTCGAGGTGGTGGTGGACGTTCCTGTCGCCGCCGCTGCTGATACTGATGATGTTGATGATAATGGTGAGGCACAATTCGACATCATCATTGTCATCGCCGCTGCCATCTGTTGTGATTGTAGTTGTTGACTTAAATTATAATTTGTCAGCATGTCTGTTGTCATCTGATGATGACTGAGAGGAGCCGTGAAATCATTAGGCAATGGATTTACATACTGCTGATGCATTAGTGTATAGTGTTGATCCTCTGGAGTAGTGAATCCTGCTGCTTGTGAATTCGGTGAAAATGAGGGCATAGGTAAAGTTGGTCGAGTATATGATCCTGCTGCTGCCGCTGCGGCTGCCACTGCTGCTTGTGGTAGATAACCAGCTGGTGGTGTAGACGACATCCAGAGATTTGGTGAATTCCAATAGCCAGGATACCAGGCAGCAGTATTGTTTGGGTCGTATACACTATCTATTGGCACTGGGGTATATCCATTTAGTGGACATAGTGATGCATTAGTGTTACAGTTGGTATACGATGTTGATAATGATGATGATGATGGTGGAGATGAAGACGATGATACTGCGGAGGCACTGGAATATTCGGTTTGATGATTATTACCTACTGAGGAATCAGTAGACTTGGAAGGAGTAGTAGTAGTATTGTTGTTGTTCCCTGTACTACTGACAGCAACAGATCGTGCTACTGGCATTATTAAATTAGACGGATGAACTAGTGCATTGACATTGTCAGCTAATGACACCTTGGAAAGAAAAATAAAACAGGGAGAAGAGATGATCAAATCTGTGGGAAAATATAATATAAGAGATTAGGTCGAAACACTTCAAAATACTGTAATCATTCCATTGAGTTCTGAATGGAACAAAGGGCTTCAAGGTTTGAAGCTTGGTGCCGTTTTTACGGGGTGGAGTTGCCTAGCCTGATGATCAAACGTTCATCTTCACCAGGATTAATACTGGTTAAGCGAGATTTAGGCGTACATCGGCAGGAAGCCAAACCCGGACCACGTGTATGATTGGCGAGTGTGTACTACTGGCAGCATATTAAAGGATTTCAGTTAGATACTTGATCCCTGGTGAGTTACTTTAGTGTGTGAAGTGACATCAGACCATGCAAGAAAGGTGACTGACTGACTGACTGGTTTCAACATAGAACAACTTTGCACCGATGTGCAGAAGTTCAAGTCGCCACACTCCCTCCTTGTAGCACAAAAAGCAAGAGAAGAAAGTAAAAAGAAAAGCAAAACAGAGATATGAGGTAAAAAGAATGGTAATATCGAAGAACAATAAAGTTTTATTGGTTATTATAAGTCATAAGGAGTGGATGCATCTGCACCAGTCATTGAGAACCATTTTGAGCCATATCACAGATTGTCTCCACCCATTGGTGATTACCGTCCCGAGGACCCCAACCAGACTGGCAGTTTACACCTTCCTATGTGACTGGCTGGCTTAAACTAACTGTTGTGGATTTCATTGACTGATGAAGCCGTGTTTTGATTTGACCACCACTAGCTAACTCTTTTTCAACTTGATCCATCTCATGTCAACTAACATTGCCCTTCGTCGAGGAAGGCGATGGCTAGGTATGAGTAACACATGTCCTAACCATCTCGGTCGATGCAACTTCTTAGCCTCGTCGATTGATTTCTCCTCCCACCTACCTAGCACTCGACGCCTAACCAACTCAATATTGCTCACCCCGTTACACCAAGAAAAGTAGAGGAGGAGATACATCCTGAATGACAGGAATATCGGTAATTTTATTCACATTTGCTAGAAATAATTTAATAAGACAAAACGAGATGAAAAAATATCAGTGCACGGGAAAATATTATTTAATGTCATTTCTATGAGTTATTTTGTATTTATCAAGTGTTGATCTGCAATGACTTGATTAGTTAAAGGACTGATCGCGAACTGACATCATTTAGAGAACCATTGGGAAACCCAGTAGGGAGTAATGGACAGATATCTTGTCTTCACAGCAGTATGCACCCGCCGAGGTCTCAACCAAGGCGCTTCCGGTTACAAGGCGACTTATATCGGACTGAACTGCTCGGTCTCCTAGTACTAACGCTTCGATGGTATCCGAAAATTGACAAGATGTTAATTGATTGATGATGGATAACAGGGAAATCCAGAATGCGTATCTTGTCTTATCGGGCATACGTCAGCGCACTTTTCAACATTTTCCGTGACATTGGAAGTTATGTCCCATTTGCTGACTTCACCATCTTTAGATGGCGTGTAGCGATATACATATTATTAGTTTCGTACTACCAAAATATTATAGAATGTGGTAATACAAGCATGAGTGGTAGTCAGCAGATCTAAGTTTCACAATCTCAAGAGTTTCGGGAAATCAATCGACGAGGCTGTGAAGTTACATCGATTGAGATGGTTAGGACATGTGTTACGCAAGCATGCCTAGCCATCGCCTTCCTCAACGATGGGCAATGTTAGCTGAAGTAGGATGGATCAGGCTGACAAAGAGCGAGTGGTAGTCAAACCAAAACACGGCTTCATCAGTCAATGAAATCCACAACAGTAAGTTTAAGCCACATAGGAAGGTGTAGACTTTCTGACTGGTTGGGGTCCTCGGGACGGTAAGAACCACTGGCTGGAGACAACTAGTGATATAGGTCAAAATCGTTCTCAATGGCTGGTGCAGATGCATCCGCTCCTCGTAAATACAGTTTCTGGGGTTGATTTTAATTTATTGAACTAAAACTATGGATCTTATACACAGTCACACTAAACTTATGAATATAGTGGACCACACACTTATCATACTGGAGGACCACTCGGTGTTTATGAGCAACCGTACATTCACGAAGAGCTCATGGTGAGCGCCTGACACTGAACCAACTTTTGCAACAAAATAGTTCGACAGCCATATGATTAAATCCGCCCCGGGGGAATAGTTCACAGGCAGTTTACCGAAATTATGGACCTTTACGCGTGGCTGAAGACCAAACTCGTAATCTGGAGCTCAACGCTTTGTAGATCTACACACTGGTTTATATGTTCCGTACCCACATGGTTCAAATTATCCATACCATCCTTAATCACAGCCGATGATGCAGAAGTGCCGTGTACCACGACCTTTTAGATTACAGTGTGCAAATATAAACACTTGCAATCAACCAAGACCACCTTAACCTACTCTTGGAGGAAGTACTCACTGAGACTGGAAACCAGAGCCTATGGTTTCAAACCTTTTAGTCCACTTCACACCTACGCAGAAATGTACAGATATTTTTTTTAAAATTTAGAACAACACATTTAAGCGAACAATATTGTGCTTTCAATTAGATCTCATCAGGCTTAACTCTAATATATATGAGTTTACAAATAAAAATTCAAATATAAACCAATCATGGTGTTTTGTCTATAGGATAATACGATGGTGAATATATATATATATATAGACAAAACACCATGATTGGTTTATATTTGAATTTTTATTTGTAAACTCATATATATTAGAGTTAAGCCTGATGAGATCTAATTGAAAGCACAATATTGTTCGCTTAAATGTGTTGTTCTAAATTTTACTATGGGAATATGTAATATTTTTCTAAATTGACCAGATGACTCAGTTACATCAGAATACGATTCAAACTGAAATTCTGTTTTTTGTTCTGTTACGTAACATTCCATTCAATCTTGATTCTGATTTTCACTCACTCACTGAGTTGAACTCACAAATCTACTAAATTAAATTATTTTATGAATTTTATAATTTTACTTCACCATTCACCCCCACCCATTATCCTGAACTCTCCACCATAATATGTAAAAATGAACTCTGTTGTTCTAATTTGGATTTTTTCTCTAGGCCATCCTTGTTTCCAAACGAAATCAAAACTTCACCTCTTTGTCTAATTACTAATATAAATAGTTACTCTCTTTTAACACACTAAATAATTGTCAACCTACTTACATCATCTTTGAAATTATGCTGCCCCTATACTTTCTATCTATAACCTGAAGTCATTGTATGTTCAGACACCATTTTGTAACTTATAATTGATTTACATAGGAGGTAAGCAGTTGAAGAGAGATAATCCACGAGACGAAACAAGCTCGTATTAGTCCTGTCTGCAAACACATGTGTTCGTTCTTTCTTTATTCAAACTGAAATTCACCTTTAATTCATGTAAACATTGTGCTCGTACAGGTTATATTAAGATAATGTGCTGTACAAATACCTACACCACGTTGACTGGTAATTAGGAATAACTAATTACGAAGCATAAATTTTTGTCAACTTCTGTTAATCAATAAGTTAATCAATTAAACAAAATTCTATTAGAATTTTCCCATAGCTCTTTCAAGGCTATGAAATACTGGGAATTTAAAATACTTTTCTCCTTTGGGTTGTTGTTTAAGTACTGATGAGCTATATCCACCATCTTGGCCTGAAACCAACCCCTGTCTTCATCGGATGTTGCGGCAAGAGGTTTCAGTTGGTCATGTAAGTTTTTAAACTCAGCCTGGATGGCTAAATCCGTAAATTGCGTGCGAGGAACACAACATTTGAGTCCAAGGGATAAAAGCTTCTTTCTGATAAGTAGATAGAGTAATATCAGAAAGATTTGTAACATACTTATCAGGATTCACCGGAAAAAGATCTACGCGGTTTCGGTCATCAATTGAACTCTTCAACTTATTTTGTATAGTCGTCTTTATTTTCTGAGTAACATCTTTACAAAACTGAAGAAATTCCATGTGGCATATTTTTGATAATTCAGAAAAGTGACGTATCGGTATGAAGAACAAGTAGTCCTTGTAACATTTGTCTAACATTTTCGATATGTGACTTTGTAAGACGAACATGATTAGAGATATTTGGTTGTATTTACTGAATTTCAAAGTTTTATAAAATTGCCTCGGGAAGGAATGATTTTTAATACATAATTCATAAAATTCCAACGTGTTACGTTCGACGAAAATTTTACAACAACCCAAAGGAGATAAAGTATTTCAAATTCCCAGCATTTCAAAGCCTTGAAAGAGCTATGGGAAAACTCTAATATAATTATTACAAAACCTGATAACGGTTCTGGAGTCGTCATTATGAATAAAAGTAAACAAAATTAGTAAAAGTTAGAATTCATGGGCTGGTAATTGGATCGGGTCCCAGTGGCTTAATGGTCTACGAGGTAGCTCGCTAGCCTTGTAACCAGAAGGTCCCGGGTTCGAACCCCCCTGTGGTGGGCGCTTACTGGAGAAGAGTCCCAAACAGGCTGACGGAACAGCTGTCTGGCAGTACTCCCAGGTGGTTTTCCAATGGTTGTCTAACTAATGTCAGCTCATGATGAAATCCTCCAACCAATCAAACAAAATTAGTTCGACGAGAATTATTGAAAAGAGAAGAAGTGTACTTGATAGCGTTTTTCTGTTTGCCCACCCCCCACCTCCACCTGTTTTTGAATGAAATTTCAGTAGTGCGTGCCTACAACCTTAACAGAACATCGAATTAAGAAAAAAAAGGGCTGACAGTATTATTCCAAAAACAAAAGCGCATAACACAGAGCACCATAACATGCATGGGCGGGATGTCAATTATTGAGGAATGAGCAGTAAGGGGAAAGTAAGATGATGAAAGTGAGGTAGATAAAGGTGGATGATGGTTAGTGGAAGTTCGCGTGCTTTTGGAACTGTGTGGATGGTTGTTACTTCTCGGCTACCCACCCCATGGAAGTTGACTTTTCCTTGGGGTACCTGGAACAAAAAGAGAGTTTTCTATAGTTTGATGCTCGCTAGTGACTTGCTACAGGTTGGAGTTTCCTGCAGTTCTAGTGAGAAGTCGTGACCAGTGAGGTCCAATTAGAAGTCACGTGTGGATGGATTTCCACCAACGACAATAGTTGGGGTCGCGCTAAAATCACGAATTGGTAGAAGTTAGAATTCATGGACTGGACATTGAATCGGGTCCCAGTGACTGAATGGTATACGAGCTTGCCTTGTAACCGGAAGGTCCTGGGTTCGAATCCCAGTGGGTGCGTACTACCGATGATTCCCAAAACTAGGATGAAACAGCAGCTGTCCAGTACTCCCTGATTTTCAATGGTTCTCTAACTGATATCAGTCCGTGATCAACTCGTAAAAAAAAGAGAGTTATCGAAGAGCCCAGGGGACAAATGCTTGCGGCCTATTTGAATTGGTTTTTCGAGTTGTTCCCTTATTAGTAATTTACCACCTGCCATGTAAGTCGGGATGTACAATTTTTGGGTTCTACCTTCCCTAAACCCCCGTCTTCAGAGTGGAGAGGCAGCATGACTGCCTCTGAAAGAAACACCTCACTGCTGTTACATCCCTGTTCCCCAGCAGTAAGACTTTTCCCACAGACGCTAAACTTAGTGTAAACATCTTACACTATGCCGGTAACCGCTTTTAGTCTATTCGCTGTCTTACCAACCTTTCTGGTAATGGTAGCACATGTAGAAACATCATTTCCCAGCGAACGTAGCTTGTTGGATCATCGGGATATGCAAGCCCGATCACCACGTCAAGGTAGCAGCTATTGGTCGGGTCAGCCAAGATAGATCACCAGACGGCACCATTAACTCTTATACGACAAGTGTAAAGCTCACAGCCTGGTAAATCAGAATCTCATTCTAGGAAACTTATCAAAGATGAAGACATTATACAAGTGTCTACACATTCAAGTAGATAAAATAAAGATTCTATTCTATAATCGCACGATTTGAACTCTGTTCATCTAGAAATTATTCATTCACTTTTGTGATTTTCCTTCAACAGATCTGATCCCGCTGATTACCTTCATTAGACATACGGGTTCTTTGAATGGATACCGAGAAATCATCAGGATTAAGAACTCGAAGTTGTTTGTTTACTAGTGACCAGCCGATAGAGTTAAGGACAATATGGTCACCAAGCCACACACAAAACTACGATGCACCTACGATTCCCACAGAAAAGGTGTGATTGTCTTAAGGAACCACCTCCGTAGCTTTCGACTTGAAGTCTGATCCACTAGGTAATGGAGCAGCATCGGGAGCTACGTCTCCATGGTTTCCGCTGGCCGAAACAGGTTCATACGCCATTCGGCCCAGTCGGATTCTGTAGCCCACTTACACCATAAGTTTAGAATCAGGGTTTTCTAGCTCCTCTAGATGGACCATCATGTTCAGCAGTCCGTAATTGCCAGACGTTCGCATTAACCTCTTCACTTTTGTGTGGAACACCCCCTACCATGTGAAGGCAGTGAAGATAGGACTTACCTGGAAGACAGTTTGAAAGCGTGACCAACTGAGAATATTTCCAGAGGAAGAGACTATGGTCAACCCACTTCAGCTGTACCAGGTCGTTTATGGGGGCTATCAACTGGGTGTACTTACATCCCAATGAGTGACGGTGTTCCTACTAAGACTTGAACCCAAGTTTCCATTCGCTTCAAACATCAATGCGTTATTCATTAGGGTACTGGACCATGAAAGCCACGGATATGATTTGAAACAACCTATTCACATTAGGAATTTCCTGCTGATATATCCAGTCTCATTGACCAGCTCATTTGGTGTATTGAGCTCCTTGGACGAATATTACCACTAATAAGAATTCGAAGTTACTTGTTTGAAAAAGTTAAATTACCAGGCTATGAGCCAAAACACTCGGTTGCCCAAGCTGAAGTAGGTGTGACCGGATTCGAACTCGCAACCCACACCTTCATGCTACAGTCAACATAGTACAATCAATTTCTTATTATAATCATCAGTCCCAAACAAGTGAAACGGCTGCCTTTTCAGTTTTTATATTACTTCCATCTGACTGGCTAGCAAGCACTACTGCTGCTGTAGCTGCTTGATGTTTGTGGTATCACACTACTCATTACAGCCACAATCAGTAGTATACAGCGTCATGCATTCAAGGAGTTTCGGTTTTCCCCTCATTTAAAAAAAACAAAAAAGAGGCGAAGTTAAAGTATCATAGCCAAAGCCAAGGTCTTTCAAAAGTTGACCTTCAAAGAACCAATCAGACACAGGGAATGTTATGAAACGTCATTCCAAATAAAATCATACCTATCATGGAGAAGGCAGTATTACACTTATTCTCTAGGTACCTTTTCTGTAAATCTATACTGTTAAGTAGGCTTATGGATTTTTAGATTAGGATTAGGGTTAGAGTTAGGAGGAGGTCAAAGAATCTTGCACTGCCCTGGTGACAACAAATATACAACTTTTATGAGTCACCTTTTTCTTGTTTAGAAAACTCTACTCTCTCATCTAAACATGACTCACCCTGTCTTGTTCTTTTCTCTTCCTTTTTTTCTATTGACTATTAGATAAAGCATAAAGTTACGTAATCTACCTTTTTGTCATGCTCTGTCTAGCTAAACCTTGTTTCTATGCATATATATAAACATATATATATGCAACTCTGTTTTTGTTTCCAAGCCTAATTGTCTATAAATAGTCAGTGTTTGTAACTCTTAATTAGTTAAATCGTTCCGAACTAATGTTACTTTTACTTCCTACCAATTACTCCTTGTGATCGTGGAAAAGTATGTTCAAATCTTTAATGTAATGCAATTCATATTTTTTATCGTTCAGGTTGTAACCAGTTGAGAAGAATCCTCGAAATAATAAAAGATGAGTTCATATTATCCTGGTAAAATTGTTGTTCTTGCTTTGTTCAAGTTTATTAATGGCAAGAATTGCATGAAGTTTTCAAAGAATAGTGTCAGAAATATCAACAGATCTCAAAGTACCATGACCTACAGTCACTTGGATGAAAGCATGTGTCGCACATGGTATGATTTCTCTATAGATCATCTGTGTAGTGACTGGGAGACATTCTTACAACACATAAGCTACAACTATAGGGCGTAATATCATGTTTGCAGTGCTTTTTTTAGTGCACTTTTCATCGATTATGCGACTTTTTTGCATCTGAGTTCTGATTGGTTGTTCAAGGTCACTGTGGTTTTTTTGCCAATGATATGATAGTTTAACTTTGCCCAAAAAGAAAGATTAAATCACAGCATTTAACCTTTCCCACAAACAAACAAACACTACACTCTACTTACTGAAGCTAAAACGCTTGGATCCACACAATAACCTGCTTCACTTTGACGCAATGGATTCGATGATACTGTGCCCGCCTGCAGCATTAGATCTGATGATTCCGATGGAATGACCATGCATTGATTCAAACATGCAGGATCTATATTCAACTTGGACAGACCTAATTGGCCTGGATAGTACTGTTTTTGTTGTTGATGATGATGATAATAGTCGGGATCATTATTATACCAAAAGTAATAGGGTATTTGAGTTGCTGTCGATGGACAACACATTGCGGCGGCGGCGGCGGCAGCAGTTGGCGTTGAATAATTATTCAGCATAGTTGGTGATAATACTAAAGGTGGTTGTAAGGCGGCTGCACTACCACCACCACCAGCGCTGTTTGGCAGATTATAACAAGATTGAGCAATTAACTGATGATGCTGATATGGATAGCATTGTGGACATTGAGATAGGCCACAGGGTAACCGGTGTAGACAGGACTGTTGTTGTTGGTGGTGGTGTTGAAGTTGGCTAGTTGGTGTGTATAACTCGGAACTATTCACACTGTATTCAGAATTTGTGTAGCCTGAAGAATTAACTGAATCTGAGTAATTGGCATTTGATGAGTTGGGATTGGAATTTGTTTGACGATGTAAAGTATTATTATTACTACTACTATTACTATTATTATTGTTATATGAATCAGAATAACGGTATTGGGATGATGGTTGTTGTTGTTGTTGTGTTGTTGGTTAGGCATAGAATTCATGTCTGAATAGGATGGTGGTACAGATTGATTTCCTGATGAATGATTGGATCGTTCAAATGAGCTTTTATAATTATTGTTAGAATGTGTAGACGCTTGAAAAAGGGAGAGGAAAAAAAGAAAAGAAAAGGAGTTATTTCTAAAGAAATTATTTTCTATAGTTTGGTTTCTAAGGGTTTGATATGTTTTTACGAGTTGATCACGGATTGATATCAGTTAGAGAACCATTGAAAACCAGGGAGTACTGGACAGATGCTGTTTCATCCTAGTTTGGGAATCATAGGCAGTACGCACCCACTGGGATTCGAACCCAGGACCTTCCGGTTACAAGGAAAGCGAGCTTGTATACCATTCAGCCACTGGGACCCGCCTCCTCAATGGCCAGTGCATGAATTCTAACTTCCACCAATTTGTGATTTTTCAATGGTTCTCTAACTGATATCAATCCGTGATCAACTCGTAAAAAGAAATTATTATTGCTATTTATTATTTTTTCCGAGTAGTTTCATGAAGAAACCCATGAAAACATCAGAGAGAAAACCTGAAACTCTGACTGCACGTAAAAAACCTCTGTTTATTAAGTTGGTGACTTATCAAGTGAGATTTTATTCTAGAGACTTTCCAGAAGTATACGAAGAACGTTTTACGCAGCAAACCTATGTTTGTCATTCTCTAGCCAATGAATGATTGGGACGCAAATGAAGGATAAGCTAGATAGTTTTACCACATCTATGTTCATTTATCAATTCAACTGCACCTGCGGTGACATTATGTTGGGCACACTACTACTAGACAGCTTAGCCAGCCAACGTGTTACTGAACGTCTCCCATCGTGGTTTGGCAAAGGACAGACAAAAACAATGCATAGCTCAATTTTGTCACATTTAATTAATGGTGACCATGTAGTAGAGGAAATGACAGCTTTCAAGGCAATTCATCGTATCCCACCGAATCTTTCCAGTAGACTTCCTATTCGTCTACTGCATGCACACAGCTGAGGCGATAGGCATTAGAACCATATTAAACCTAAACTATGCATTCAAAAGAAATTCGTACAGCCGTTATCCCTTCCTTGTTGGCCTATTAAGACATAACCAGCTGATGACTTCTACACCACCTCTTACTTATATTTTCAACCCCTCTTATCACATCTTCATTAAAAATGTGTTTCACTTACTTCCCTTACAATCTAGCATTACTTAATCGGTTCATTTGTTTTTACTAGCCTTTATCGACCACTACTTCCACCTGAACATTTGTTTGTTTAATCATGCTGTTTTTCATTATTCGTGTTATCACAGATTGTCTCACTTTTTCATCCTTATTATTGATAAGACCATTTTTATTATTACTATTATTAGTATTATTATCATTACTACTATTATGACTAATTGGACAATTTATATGTACCATCTTATTATCCTATAGACAAAACACCATGATTGGTTTATATATTGAAAACAATATTGTTCGCTTAAACGTGTTGTTCTAAATTTATTATTTTATTCCTTTACGTTCCCCAAGTGGAACATAGGGAGGGCTTCAAGCTAGAGGCTTGAAGTTTCAGTAACAGCGGTGTTTTTTATTTTCACGGGATGGGGTTGCTAGCCAGTCGCATGCGCCCCCCCAACCTCTTCCCACTTTGCCTGGCTTATTACCAGTTAAGCGAGGTTTGGAAGTGCGTCAGTGGCCGGGGATCGAAACCGGGACCACATGAAACATGGTCGGCGAGTATTCTACCATCTCTGAGTCACCAACCCAAGTATACATCAGGTTTTTCTTAATTTACTGCAATGATACACGGCAGTTGAAAGCGAAAGAGATGAAAAGATCACAATTCGCTGAGCACGTATGCGCCTTTGCATCAGTTTCAGAGAGTTTGGAGGAACCACATGATAGATAGGTAATGCTGAGATTGTCAGGTACCATCAAGTAAGAACTGTGACTTAATCGATGAGATGAAAAAAACAACACTGAGCTATATAAGAGTTAAATGTTTTAAACTTTAACGTAGCGATAGACACTTGTAAGACACGCTATCCGTTATTTATTGTAACTCCACATATACGAAAAACAATACTGTGAGCAAAGGGCGTGTGTACTGCTCAACAGTCCGCTCCGTCCTCCTTTATACCTGTGAGACCTGACCATTGAGAGCAGAATACATGAAAAGATTAACTGTGTTCGATCATAGGTGTCTGCGTTCTATCTCCCGCATGAAGTGGTATAATAAGGTGAGCAATATTGAGGCTAGGCGTCGAGTGCTAGGTAGGTGGGAGGGGAAATCAGTCGACGAGACTGTGAAATTACATCGACTGAGATGGTTAGGACATGTGTTACGTATGCTTAGTCATCGCCTTCCTCGAAGGGCAATGTTAGCTGATATAGGATCAGGCTGGAAAATAGCTAGCGGCGGTCAAACGAAAACATGGCACCAGTCAATGAAATCCACAACAGTTAGTCTAAGCCACGTAGGAAGATGTAGACTTCCTGGTTGGAGTCCTCGGGATGGTAAAAACCAATGGTTGGAAACAATTGGTGACATGGCTCAAAATCGTTCTCAGTGACTGGCGCAGATGCATCCACTCCTTGTGACTTATGATTTCCAATGAAACTATATTGTTCTTCGTTATTACTATTCCTTTGTCTCACACCTCTGTTTACTGTCTATATTATTATGCATTTCTCCTACTTTCTTCTCTTGCTTTGTGTGCTACAAGGAGGGAGTGTGGCGACTTGAACTGCCGCACATATGTGCAAAGTTCTATGTCGAAAACCGACCGACCAACCGATTGTGAGCACACTTCCTGAGGGAAGCAGGTTCACAATAATTGATACGACGAATACAACTGAAGTGAATTTTCAACATAGAAATTTGCACTTAAATACAGCAGTTCAAGTTAGCATACTTGATAAACACACAAAGTTGGAAGAAAACAAAATTAATACAACACAAAGAAACGCCCGATATCAGTAGGTCCTCGCTAAATACATGTGCTTTTCATTGATAAAATGCGGTAACTAATTACGGTTACCGTAATAAGTTCAAACTTGAGGTTACATTGAAGAACCGAGCAAAGGTAAGGCAGCATTACAACACAGTGACTTTCCACGCATTTTGAAAAAGTCGACCATTTGTACAGTTCACCAGTTAATTCCCTTAGTTGGAAAGTCTACCGGAAAACAGATGATTCTGTGTTGGTTTATTATTTGCCGAGAAATAAGTGAATTTAATACAGTTGAATTAAACAACAAACATAATCCATGTACCCGAGAGTTAAGGGTAGTATCCTTTTCTAAAGAAATACTTAGTAATTAATCGGATAATCACTAGTGACTGGCCCTATACAATAAGTTACCTGGAGTTCTAGTAAGAAATCGTAATCGCCAAGTCAAGCAAAAGAACAGTTACTCACCCACGACACTGGTTGGTGGTTGTGCTATACCTACATTAAGAATTGGTAGAAGATGGAGTTTCATGGACCTTCGGGTCACATCCTATTGCTTGGAGGGTCGACTTTATAAAACACACTCCAATAAATAATATTAATAAAGATAGAAATTCCATGGAAATCTTCCCCTATTTTCAAGTTAGTATCTATCTAAACATCTCTAAGACATTTTCAAGAGAGTTTATGTAAGAACTCACATGCTTTTTTATTTCCATAAGAATCCACCGAATGTTGAGATCCGACCATTGATTTGTTGTGAGGACCTCCACGACCTGGGGATGAATGCATTTCTGTTGCTTATGATGTCATAAAAATATTCCAATGTGTATCTGCTTGTGGATGTTTGATTAGAAATGAAAAATAGAAAAAGCAAAATGGTACTTAACTGGAATAGCTAGGAGAATTTCTCAATAAAAAGTATGATTTACAAATACGTTGTACAGGAGGTGGCCAATGGTCTGAAACCCAAATGGCTGGAAATTCAGGCAAATAGACGTTGTGTAGAAAATATAATATGACGAAAAGATGCATGGCTTACAAAGAATATATAATAGTGTGGTATTTGTGACACGGATTTGCAAGGAAACGAAACCAGACACTGAAATAACTCAAAAACTTAAGGTTCAAATAAAGTTAGTAAATAGGATATAGTACTAGAATTAATGTGTAGACCCTCAGAATTCTGTGGATTGTGAAATAACACAGACAAAAATATGTCCGTGCATCCTGTGGTGAAATTCAAGAAGATAGGAGGATGAATCTCAGATTACATTAACGGCGGCGTAGCTAACAATTCTACCACCAAAATCACTTCTTGTTAAATAAGTTTTCAAACACAACATTCAGAAATGATAAATTCTATTCCCAAGACACACGGTATCTACAAAGACAAATACTGTACTACATACTTGGTTTTCATAGCTTAAAAAACTTGAATATGGTTTCTACTTACACCACTACAATCAAATTGCATAATAAACTAGAAAATCCACTGAAATTATATTCATATGTATGCCACTTTACTAAATTGTGAAACGAAACGGACAAGACTAATGATCCATACAATATGTGTATTAAGTGGGCAGATTCCTCTCAGTATTCATACACTAACCACAGCATTAATTCCACGACATGAAATGTTGCGAGGCGAATAAAACTCAATACTTCCAGACATTCACTAGTTTATGCTGTCCTTCCCTTTGAAGATGAATCCAAAAATTAAAAATTTCACAGGGCTTTCAGTGACTTCCTTAGATTATAATCTAAGGTAGGTATGCCTACCTTTTAAAAGGAACTGTCGTCTGTCAAACAACATATACATGTATATTATTTCCGAGTAAACTCTGTTCACTAGGGCATTTAGTTGTGAGGCATGAATTAAAATGGACAAAGACAAGGTGAATATTCTGTAAACCAATTTATTAAATAACTACTTAGTTTAAAATGCTATTTGTTGCCGTACTTACTGTACAATTATCCACCATTAGAATAAAACACCAAATATAAGTAATTTCAACTTGTGTTTTGCTTTTCTTGTTAAAAGTAGTATCAAACAACTATGAAAGACTACTAATCTTCATTATGGAAACAGCGTTAACATTAAAACAACCCGCACACTTTGGTTTCGTGGCTAAGTCCTTGAAAATTATTGGTGTTTCAGTAAACAAACGCAACTCACATTTGCCATTAACTGAAATGCCTCAGTTTTTAGCATGAAGCTTCACAACATATTTACTGACAATTTTGTCTTTTTCCTGATGATTACTTCAACTTATTTAGCTGCATAACTTCATTTGTTTTAAGTTGCCCATGGTGATAATTTTCTGTTGTATGTACTTGCATTGTAAAAAATTATTTGGTGGAGAATTTAAGGGTGTCGTGGAGATACTCTATAATTCCTGTTTGTAGTGTACCATAAATTTAACAGACTGGAGTATGTTGAGAATGAGGAGCTGAATAGTCGTATGCGAGAATATTTGAGTAAATGTAGAAGAAGGAATCCAATATCCAATATCCTGATTACGAGCTAGTATAAACCAGTGATTTCTTTGAGCTCGCTTCTTGATTTTAAGGTAGAGGTTCCAGATCTTCGGTGAACTTATGCGTAGTAAATCCCGCCACTCGACTGCCTTAGCTCTGGTAGACTCCAGGAGGAGTGATGAGAGGATTGGTCAAGATTGTGGTTTGTAGTGTGCAGTATGTTAGGACTCAGCTGCTGCCGTGAATGGAGTTTGACCTAACACCCGTTGGTCATTCGGTATAGTCATAAAAGTAGAATAGTAATAATAATAATGATAATGATAATAATAGGTTGTAGTGTAGATAATATAGGTTGAGATAAGTGAAATAATAAAGAAAGAAAGAAAAGATAGAGTAGTCGGTACAGTGGGAGAAGACAGGACGGGTCGTGGGGATTTAGCTTGTGTGCTTATCCATTGACAATGTGGTTTCAAATTTTAAGAGGGTAAGCGATTGAGACACAAACCATGCATTTCTGCATGATTGTCCAGCTTCCGCTTAAAAGTCTCCACAGATGGAGCTGTAGTTACGGCCGCCGGTAAAGCGTTCCAGAGACGGCAAACTCGAAGCGAGAAGAAATGTGAACGCACTCGAGTCCTTGGTCTCTGGTGTGCTATCCTTAGCGGGTTACCTCGTGGAAGCCTATAATCACTTAATGTCAGGATGCTCTTATTAGGATGGGCCTGGTCATTTAGGATCTTATAGACGGTGATGAGGTCTCCCCTGTGACTACGGTAACTAAGTGTGAAAAGACTTAATTTCTTCAGTCTCTCCTCATATGATTTGTTGCGGAGGCCGATCACCCATTTTGTCGCTCGTCTCTGGACACTTTCTAGCATGTTAGTATCCCTTTTGAGTAGCGGAGGAGCAATGATATTATGCACCTCAAGGAGTGGCCTCACGTATGTCGTATACAACGTTAGGAATAGTTCAGGAGTAAGAGCTCCCAGTTGCCTATGCATAAAGTGTAAAGTGCCGTAAGCTTTGGCGACGTCCCTCGTGTAATTTACACTGGTGTCTAGCTTTTCTGTTAAAATAAGGCCTAGATCGCGTTCTGATGGCACACAACTCAAGTTCTGGCCACCAAGGGTGTAATTTGCACTCTGTGACCTGCCGGAATGAAGTTGCACTACTTTGCACTTCTTTAAGTTGAAAGGCATTCCGTTAGCCAGAGCCCAGTCCCCCAGCGTTTGCAGGTCAGCCTGCAATCTGTCGGAGTCTTCCGATGAGTTTATTGCTCTCCAAATCTTTACGTCGTCAGCGTAAAGAAGCGCAGAGCAATTCAGTTGACAGGGCAGGTCATTGATAAAAATCAAAAACATCAACGGCCCTAAGATAGAACCCTGAGGAACCCCTGATGCCGAGGTGTGCCAGGATGATCGGATGCGGTTGACTTTGGTGCAGAATTCTCTCTCGCCTAAATAATCTTCCAGCCATGCGAGAAGTGCTCCAGAAACACCCGCTTTGCTTATTTTGTGAAGGAGCAGACCATGGTGAACTGTGTCGAATGCTTTCGCAAAGTCGAGAAAGATCACATGGACTGGTACCTTTACATCCCAGGATAGTGTCCAATCGTTCCAAGCTAGTAGAAGATTCGTCACACAGGATCTTCCCTTCCTGAAACCATGCTGTGCTTCATGGAGTAGGTTAGTCCCGTCGAAGTATTTTCTCATGTGGTCGTCAACGAGACTTTCCAATATCTTCGATATCACTGGGAGTAGCGCAACTGGTCTGTAAGTGGTCGCGTTCTGCCGGTCACCACCCTTGAAGATAGGGGATAGGATGGCTCGTTTCCATTCACATGGAAGTTTCCCTACATCAAAGGAGTGTTGAAACAGATCGCTTAGGGGTTGGCAGAGACTTTCTGAACACTGCTTCAGGACGGATGGTCTTATGTCGTCGCAACCTGCAGACTTTCCCGAAGCCAACTTTCCCAATTTTATGAGTACCATAGCCGGGGTAATTTGAAATGTACCCAGAAGGTTTTCGCACGTTGGTCTTGCATTGTAATCTTGATGTTTTGTGAGGGTAAAATCCTCGTTACTGTTCAGTTGCCTGTGAAAGGCTACACTGAATAAAAGATGAAGAAACAGACAGGTGGTAATATACGGGAATACAGAGCGTCCAAGAAAATCTGTCATTTTCCATGAGGATAACTCAAATACAGTCCATTTCCTTAGCAATACTTTTAAGATACCGTTGGAAGTGTCTTCAATCCGTCCCTTCCCACTGTTTTGTGTAGAGTCCAAAGCAAAATATTCTGTCTACTTTCGGCACTGTCTTTTTTCATTATTTCGGTTAGTCCGTAACTGAGTTCGTAATCTTATCTGAATTTTTAGGCCATATAATCATATAAGCCCTAGAAATACTATATTCCATAATGTTAATTAAGCCTAAACAAACCGAAACGCCTCATGTCACTTGGGTGCTGTTGCCACTTTTGTTTTCATAATGGAATCAGAAGAATTTGTCTTACTTGGTAGTGGAAACCAGTTCCTCTCAGGATCATAATGTCAAGAATGAACTCGAAATTGACGAAAGTCACACTTATACAGTGGTATGCACTTACAAAAAAGTCGACACAACGGGGAAGAAAGGAAATTTCCAAAAAATGGCAAAATCTAGTTGGCGACTTTGGAATTCTAACAGGAAATAAAGATATCAGACTGAGAGCAGATAATTCAGGAACAGAAACTATTATGAGTCTTGGTGAGCCCGTTGAAATTAATGAGAATAGAGAACTGTTGACAAACTTCTGCACCTTAGGTTGGAGGCAGCGTGCACAGACACGAGGACATGCGTAAAGTGATGATAGTTTCACCGTTTAAATATACCAAAAATTGTGTAGACTTCATTTCAGTCCCAAGGAAGTAAAGACGCGGTCCGTTAGATACGAAAGCTGGAAAAGAAGCAGGTGTGGTCTCATATCACCGTCTATATCAATGTACCCTCCAGATCATGTCAGAATCCTCCGAAAAGCCAGAGAAAGTGGGAAAATGAAGTTCTGCACCAAGAAGGTTAAGAGGGAAACCCCAGAGGATATCTTAATAGAAGACATTAGAAATGTCCTGTTCACTAAGCCACGTCAGCGAGGAAAGAAAACTGGAACTCCCTGAAAGCGATTGGAACCAGTATAATCTTCTTGGTCAAAAAGTGACAAGGCAAGGAATAGACCTGTGTGGGCACTTGGAATTCGACAGAAGATGGAACGAATTTACTGGGGTAAAGATGAATGGCGAAAGGAGAGTTTCTATACAATCTTCACAGCACTAAACAAGGGGGTGAATAATAGTGCCAAGAAGAGAAAAGGGATAAGAATACGACTTGTGCATCGTGGCAGAGAGTAATTCCATTGTGGAAGAAGTTTTATTTTGATAAAGTTACATAGCGTTATGCAGTAATATTTACCGAAATCACTTTATAACACTGTGAGACTTTATAAAAACGAAACTTCCTCGATTGTGGGAGCAGAAAGATAATTTTGAGGTGTACTCGTAAGCGACTCAGAAAATGCTGCAGGTAAGACAGGCTTCACAAAACCTTAAAAAACTCAGGTTGAACTTCCAGAAGCGATTACTACTGAAGAAACAGATTACCACGTTGGTGAACGAAAGAAAAAGCTGAACTAGTGAATGTGAAAGGCACTTCAGCCAGCAGCCACCTACACCTGACCAAGAAATACGGCTGGGAGGCGCAGAACTGACAGTGGTCGTCGGTTCTCTGCTAGAATCATGAGCCCTCAGGGTCCCAAAGGTTCTAAGAGCTGGAAGGGTGACAGGAGAACTAGAGGCGGACTTGAACACCTTACTGGATGTTCCAACGCCGTTATTACGTAATATTTGGAAGGCGGGAAATGTCCCTACAGATCGGAAGTGTGGCTAGTGTTATGTCGAATATTCCATCTTTAAACATTAAAGTTGTACTTTATATGCCATTTTGCATTTTGTGTTAATAGGGTTGCTTTGCTTCATTGGACTATTGTACACTTTATTAATTGCCAACTACTTTTGAGTTCGAGTGTGGTCCTCTTTGTATTTGGACGTCAGATAACCTCATATTTGAAGGTTGGTACCAGGTTTATCTGATGCATTTCGTTTATTAGAATAATAACCTTGCGGTTCTTCGACAGTCTGTTGCCATTTTTATTCTATTAAGAGGCATCTGGTCATTTGTAATTGGAACCGTTTTGTGTATTTTGAACTTGTCGACTTTCTTCAGAACAATTCTGTCTCATTTAGGCTTGGCTGAAGACTGCAAGTCTATATCTGCATGGGTTATTCTCGCGGTGCCAAAACACATGGTTTGTCAGATTATACAAGATGGAATTAAATCTTTGCAAGAACTGGGACGGAATCATGCTCCAGTACAGCCTAAGAATAATTTGAGCCATGTTGTCTTTGATAAGTGAGAGATATGAATAATAAACTCCTTGTGGAATAAGTCAGGTCCAAGAAAAAAGTCACGTGTGATTATAAATACCATACTGCCGTTTCTTCGAGCAAGGTCAAGTTACATATGAAATAATATGAAATTTGCGATTGTTAGCTTATAGAGCCATGTATGTAAACTGAAAAACAATCACATTTAACGATGAATGACATGTTCAAAAGTTTGCAGTCTCCGTGGGTAC